ATTTTCACACATTGGCCACGAACCCTCACTGAGTAAAAATATTATACTTAACAATGAATACAACTTCCCCTCGTGATCAAAGTGAATGGCAAGAAAGGAGTCATCAAGGCACGTAAAGATTACCGTTTTGGTTTCCAATTTATGGGAACAGTGTTCCTATCAAAGAAAATAGATCCAAACCCCTGTATGAATACAACAAAAGACAATTTGTACACATACAGTGAGGTTTCCTTCATTCTTTCCGTTATAAGCAATACTTTATCAGAACGAGACACCGTAACACTGAACTGTTATTGTGAAAAACGGGGTTGGTGAAACTTTACCGAAGCAAGAGACCCGGAAACGCAGGTGCATTTCTTGATAACAAAGAACTCGGGCTGCAATCCACTGAACTTCTTCCAGTAATAGTTTTACAAAGAGGAAAGCATATTATTCGGGACCAGAAATACTGGGTAAACTGAGATATTTCATTAATTAGTGAAGGGTTTCAAAATTTGAAGAAATGTTTCGACCTTTTCTGCGCATATCGTACTAAGTAAGTAATCAACGATGAATTACACACTCTGAGATTAACTGAACTGAACGCCTCACGTAAATCAATTAGTAAAAAGAACTGATTCTTTTTTTCCGTTACAATTGTAAAACCCACAAGACAACAAATAGTTATCGACATCTATGTGAGAAACGTAAAAAACATTCATTTCCCGATAGAAATGTTAACCAAAGCAAAGGACTGTTAAATTGCAAGGAGTACTTCCAGATTTCGGCCGTTTTATCTCAACTGGCGCTTACTACGCGGTCAGCAAAAACAATCCAGGTGCTAGATCGTCTAATTCGATGAAAGTGAAAGATATGATATTCGAGCCACCCAGTCTATTCTGAAGTTAGTTTACCGCGAGATCAGCACAAGGAATATCACGCAATAATAAGAGAACTCAAATCGAATGGGCAAAACACCTGTCATCGTTTGCGAGGGACATGTTAGCCGCAACCCATCAGAACCATCGCGATAAGTCATGCGGAGTTATTGATTTGACCGGAAGCTCACGATTATTAAGATCTGCGAAGGCTACAGAGGACAAATGATGGAGGCTCACTCTGTACCGGCATAAAGAACTTTACGTTAATTTGGCTCTACCCTAGAAATGCGTCAGACAGTTTCCACCAATCTCTTATTATAGCTCACGGTACCTTAATGTACAAGTTCATTTTTATACAGTAAAATTCGGTTCCGAGATAGATTGAAACATCTCTCTTTGTTCAATAATCCATTTGTTTATTTTCATTGAATAAACTGGAATACGGTCAATATTCGGGAAGTGAGAAACGATCAGTCAAAGGACTGCGAGTGAAGCACTCCGAGTCATTTATTATCACACACGTGTCAACAAACTTGGCGAATTGTTTGTACCTTCCGGTCTGATCTTTGCCGGATTGTAACAGAATCCGTGGTTCACCAAAGACAGAACACGAAACCGTAATAGATGGCCAGATGTAGGTTACTTTTGACCACATTATACGCTACGTCACCGCATGAACATAAAGCCGTGCGCGTTTTTTTTAGCAAATTTATGCGTTATGATATTTCTTCTTCATAACCGTCTCTTTGCAAAGCACTTGGTGACTACCGTTAAATCACGTATTTCAAGCATTGCGCGGTATTTGTCCTGGAAGAGAGGGGGGTTGGAATATTTAACAAGTTGATCTTTTGGAAAGGTGACAAAGTGAATAATCCCAATTAAACATGATTTATTGTTCTCAGGTATACCTGAATATTTGACCATTCCGGGGGGAGTGGGACACTACGGCCATTCTATGGGTTAACTTTTCGCAGCTACCTATGAGACAAACTGGATGTGGAACTTACCCTAGATGTTCTTGCACGAATTTCATTTTATCAGTGGCAACTTACATCGGCAAAGTGTTCTCCTTAAGATTAAAATAAAAGTTTATTCAAAATACGCGCTTATAACAACGGTAGACTGTGTAGATCGACTGGTGACAAACACTGAACTAGTTAGTTGCACAATAAGGCTATCAAAAATCTTACTCATTTTTCTGTCTCTCATTGGACAGACACATTTATAAGATAACCACCCGTTTGCACAAACGATCCACTGTATACGCGATGTCCCATCTTATTCAGTCAGTTATGTTTATTCTGTGTTTACCAAGGTATTGTCTGTTTCCTTTGTCGTAGTGGTGCTTCCGAATAAGTTTGTAGCTCCCAAATACCCATGTTGCTGCAATCTGTTGGACCAACCGTTCATCACACTGCGTCACAAACTTTACTCGAAGATGGTAATTCTCTTCCCACGATGGTTTTCACACTGATCAACTTTCTGTACATCCTGAGGCCATTATATCCGCTTTCTTCTTTTCTATTCATCTTTGGAATCTAGCGAACACAACTATGAATTTCAATAATAATTCATATCGTCATAGTTGACGAAAATTTACGATTTACTCATTTTCAACCTTCGGAATGATCTAGTTTGAACTGATTGTCTGTTCTTTCGAAATCCACCTGTGCTACTAAATGCGATGACGTCGTATGTACGGTGAAATAGAACTTTGCGCGTTGAAGACCTCCGGTCCTTCCCCAAAGTTCGTAATGTGGATCAGCTTTATGTTGGTACCTGACCCCACAAATTAACGTAGTATTCTCATGTTGACAAAATTTTAAAAAATGAGCGTGATTTTTTATCAAGATGCCACCGCCTGATTTCGCACGCGTTAATTATACTGTCCCATTGTGATCGCGTTTTACGGACTTCGGAATCGTACGCAGATGCACTATGATCATAGTTTGCGCCAGCCGAGTACTTCCTGATTCTGGTCACATTCATTGTGCTAAAACACTACAAATTAATATCAAGAGTTTTTCCAACAGCGCACATCCACATATTCTTATTCGGTGAATTTCTGATGACGTCCGCTTTCACACTCTCGCCCAACTGTTGTGGTGAGATTCCTGGCACAACAGACCTCATTTAACGCCAAGCTTACGAAAGTACTCAGTGAACTGGAAATTTTCTGTAGGTGAACCCATGTGCATTGCTTGTTCATGAGCTGCTTCCTCGTTCGGCATTGCCTTTATCGGTGAAGTATACCATCAAGCACGAAAATAAACCGCATCACAGATAAATGAACTATTTGACTTGGGGTATCGGGTTTTAATTGACCGTTTACTTCTATCGAGGATCATTAGTTCTGTTTCAGTTTCGACGACAATTAACGATGCACTCTCGTGCGTCGGTTATGGTTGTTGTCTTTTGGCTGCCCATTTGGATGAAGAATAGGAGAAAGACAGGAAAATTGAGAGTTGAAGAGAAAATGGAGAATTTCAGTGGAATAATGTTGCAAAGAAACTGAAATGCACGAACGTCATTATTTACGACACTCAGCCACATCACTGTCTCTAACCACCGGTTGCAATCATTTCGAGGTCCCCATCCAGGGAGCCTAAAGGGACCTATGTGATCCAGTGTTCGGGTTGGGATTTTCAGACCTTCATAACAGGTCTTAGTTTGATCGTCCTTGGATTTACTCCACCCACTACCTGCTTCGACAAACCTGTTTCGTGTCATGCGTAACAAATGCTTCAACCAACGTTATCTATGGAGGTCAACCTCTTGCTCCGATGGGCAGCCGCGGTTACCCAAAACTCTGTGTCTAGCCTCAGCATCATTACTCCTCCTGCTGCCTCACCACATTCGTGCAATGTGGTGTTCAAACACCGATAGTTTATCTTTATCCTGTTTTGTTAATGACCTGGTCTCTGAACCGTACAGCAGAACTGACCGAACTGCTGCAGCACATACTCGACCATAAACGGACAGCCAGATGTTGTGACGGCACCACAAATGTCTCAAGTTTGCAAATGCCAACTGAGCCTTCTGTATTCGAGCTGACACTTAATCCTTAATCCGTCCGCCCGGAGGAAATATGGCTAACCAAATAACAAAAATCATCCACTTTCTCTATTACTTCCATAGATAGAGTAGGGCCTGGTGCTGGGCCAACCCAGTCTTGCAAAACGCATACCAAACATTGGTACACAAGCACTCAAACTACTTAGAAAAGCTTGTAACTTACCTGGATCATCACTTAGCAGCACACTGTCGTTTGCATACTCCAGGTTAGTCTGTCAAGCAGTCACCAAACTCTGGTAAATCCCATTTTTTGCATTTTTCTTTCCCATAATCCTCATTTTTACGGATAAAATCAATGAACCGGTTTTCATACGGGGAATGTATTGTATCGTGACTCCTCAAATACGAACAGTGGATCTTAAGACTACGCGACTTATCTTTTCTAAGTCCATTTTGGTAAAATGAGAGTGATATGAACAAAGCTAATTAGCCTTGTTCATTTTCATCTCTATCCAAAACTGACTGTCCCCTACGCATATTCCTCACTTAATGACATTAAGGGGAAACAGTGACATTTTTCTTATTCCAACTGAAGCATTCGGTCTTAGCCTTCGAAATATAGTGCACATTGGTAAATATTGCGTCAAACTTACCGCGATTTCGGAGGCAAATTAGGGTACACGTTGCTTACGTCCTCATTAAACAGGGCCATGTGAATGCGCGGTTGAGTTAAGAAGCATCCTAAATGGATCAATGCGTTTTGGTTGTTACACTACACGAAAAACACTATTTTATATGAATCCTACCACGTACTTTTCGATTCTGTCGTACGAAAGACCATAGACACTGCGTCTAAGGGACAGCACTGTGTCTCAGTTCGAAATTTTCCACCTTTTTCAACCGAACCTCATTCAGCGCGAAATCAGGATTACCTCCCACCTCACGATAAGTGAAAACTATTCCAATGGGGAATAAAATAAGATGTTCAAGAAGAATAACCGCTTGATTTTTTCTGGCACGTGCATGAACGACCACACTAGAAGCCGTTGGGAACTTTGACTCGCTGTGTGAGGAGTATGAACGGAGGAAGTTTAGCTCGAAACGAGGGTGGATTGAACACTGATATCAGACTGGTTTGTAGTCAAGTTTGGTTTCCAACTTCTTTGCATCGTTGATTTTTCGCACAGCCTTCATGAAATCCTCTTCAACAGTGTAGTCACGCTCAGCCCGAATAGCAAACATGCCTGTAGATAAACGGACGACATTGTCCGGAAAAGAAACGAAATGGACTCAGTAATATAAACGGATAAAACAGTTTTAGAGAAAAATATTGATAATCACTATGATACGGAAAATTTAAAGTGCACTGAGAAGTGCCTTTCGCTAGCAACTAAAGTAAATATCTCTGAATTGGTTCATCTTGGATAGGTTTGCAAACGTAATGAAAGAAGCGAGGGCAACACTAAGCAGTGGAGCATTGCTGCATTGATAAATTAAACAAAAAGTTAACAACATTATCAGCACTTTATTTCATATAAAAAGCAGCCGTACACTTTCGCTTGTCGGTTTGGATCGCTAATTTTCGGCTACTCATTTGTATGGAGCAGAAGGAACAAGTAGCAAGTTGACAGCAGTGCCAGGGTAGAGACACATATATGCTTAAACCATATATACGAAGAACACGAATACATGTAAGAGCGCAACTGTTTGTGGATCTCATTCGTGTTACTCAGTGCCAGAAGTGGTATTATATTATATTTTCAAAGATCTCTGTGTACCATCACAATGAGACCGCATTTAGGCGTGGTGTGATGGCTTGTGCATCTATGTGACCCGACGAGCTACACAGGATGGCTTTTGTTGAACCCAATCTAATCATGCCTGGAAGGTTAATGAGTAGAGGCCAGACAAAGTCTAGTCTCCTGGTCTTGGGAAGCTCGCACTTCCAAGGCATGAGCAGCTTACGCAGGACTGGAACATCTT